GTGGGTACAGAGTGTCATGGCAGATTGAGAGAGCGGTTTGGCGATGGAGTTTTTGGGTTATTTCTGAGTTTGGAGAAATGGGTCTGGAGAAAATGAGGGGAAAGAAGAAGAAGAAGATGAAAATGGCGGAAATGGAGGGGATTTGAGCTCTGTTTTTGAGGGGGGACATTTCTGAAAGTGAAAACAGAGAGGGGAGAAGAAGTAAGAAAGAGGGATAGAGGGAGATTTGGGGATGTGGCTGTTGAAAGGTGGGTGGATGGAACTTGCTTAAATAGTGACATAATTTGTGAATCTTTCTTTAAATCCAATACAAACTTTTTGCCAAGTTCAATTTTGTTTTCCATAAATGAATTTTACCTAAACTACCCAAAATATCACTTGACTTTGAGTTTAGTTTACATTATGTACTTACGGTTAAAAAAGTTTCACTTCTACCTTCGATGATTCAAATATGGATTCCCTGAACAATTTTGTCCTTAAAGACATGTGATGGAAGTTCTTGTGATTTTTAAGTTGTAAAAGGAGCAATGGCAGCTTGAAATCTCGTTTGAAGAGTGATTTTCTAGTACTTATCCATATTTGGCACATTTATCGTTCATTTTTTGAAAAGTTACATTTGTTACCATTTATTTTACAACTCGACAACTATGTCAATTTTTGTCACTTGTTTTAGCCAGAAATTGTTCAAGAGCATATTTGATTCAATTTTAAAAGTTAATGGTAGAAGTAAAACTTTTTAAACAATAGGATAATAACTTTTTTTAATTTGGTGTTTTTAGATGTAGGTTTAAATATCATTTAAGTTGGCGAGCTTTCAATTAGAAATTTTAAAATGTATATTTTACATAAGAATCCCAACTTATTCTATTTTTTCTTTATGAATTTTACCAACATGTTTATTTTAGTCTCCTAAACTTTATGGTTCTTACTATTATTTTATATTTTAACAAATGAATATTATGTAAATGGTTTTTTTTATTAAAAATTTAGAGACAGAAACTGATTATAAAGGTTTAGGAATCGTAATGAAATAAAATTGAAAGTTCAAGACCAAAAACAAGATTTACATCTTAAATCTCATGTCCAACCTGATACAAGGACTAAATTGGTTTTTATTTTTAAAATTTGACTAAAAATTCAAATGTTTCTTAAAATTATTATTATTATTATTATTATTATTATTATTATTATTATTTTGTAGAAGATGAATTTATTATGAAAGATAGCCTAAATTATACATTATTTTTATAAGTTCAAGTTTTGAATTTTGCAATTTCATCTAAATTAAAAAGTTTTTCAATATTACACACTATCTTAGTTATAGAATCTAAAAGATTGAACTAAAAAAAATAAAAAAAAAATTGAAATGGTTGTACTCAATTAAATAATGTGGGGGCGAGTGATGAGAATAATAAATATGAAGCAAGTAGGGTAGATTTTAGATATAAAGTGTTCCTTAAATAATAAAATAATAAGGATGGCTCGTAAAAATTATTATATTATATTGTTTTACAAAATTCGAAAAATATCCGACCTGCCGGATTCGAACCAGCGACCTAAGGATTAAGCTGCGATCTCACTACAGTCCTCCGCTCTACCAACTGAGCTAAGGTCGGTTACGATTACAACGTTATTCTTTAATAAATACTACTGTTACATACTAACAAATTTATTTATATTTTACGTGAAGAAATGATTTTTTTCTTTTTTTTAATTTATGATTATAGTATTATCACGTTTTTTCTTTTCTTTTCCTTTTTTCTCTTTCTTTCCTTTTTGAAAATAGGATTATCATATGGGTGACTCTCTCGATACGATGAAGAGAATGGATTCGATCTAAGCTCAATAGCCCTAGGACGAGAAGCCCTCATCTCGAAGATGGGTAGTCCATCGACATTTGCTTTTCTCTGATAGAATTCACCCGATGAGGTATTCGTTGACCTTCGGTGGGAGTACGATCTCGCGTGTCAAAGTATCCTTACAAGTCACCAAAGGACTTTTTGTCCAAGGTTACGACTGAAATTTTACGGTGTATGTTTCCCCAAATCAATCCCCTATAAAAGGAGGAGTCAAATAACCCTTCTCAAATGTATGCAAATGTCTTGCACCATACGCTTGCTCTCTTTTTAACTCTTCCCAACTGGGTTCTAATTTAAACTTCGGAGTGTAGTCAGTAGAGCACCACATCAAATTCATTTTCATTCATTACAATCTAATATGACCTTCATCACACTCTTACACCAAGTAGATCGTATAATTCAATCGTCCAATATCACTCACACTAAACGAGCACACATTTTACTTGGTGCATCCTATGACCTTAGAACTAACTCTGCTTTTGATGCAACCAATCATGAATACATGTGATGTACAAGAGTGTAGTGCAAGCAAAAGACTCTCAATACATCATGGACATGTTTGCAAGTTGACGTAGATGTAAATACAAAACGTATCCATACGTGTTATAATTTAACGCAGCTTATAACTTTATAAACCATGTGAGATGATTTGCACTTTAAAATCACTTGTCATACATAGTGTATTTGGAGTATAATATGAAACCATGCATATCAGGAGAATTATATTATAAACATTATGAAAAATTTATTTTCTTCAATTAAAAACCATCAATCCAAAATTATAAATTTCGGATTGGATCCACTTACTTTTAGAAGTGGGACCAAAGAGTGGAGGGAGGAAGAAAAAAAGCAAGATGAAATGATTTAAGTTGCTTTTGCATGGAACAGTTTTACACACCTTGTCCTTTCTGGACCACTTTTTTCATGTTTTGTTGCTATCTAGGTTGTCGTTTGATCCTTTTTTCTTACTATGTTTTTAAACTTTATTATGAAGTTCCAATTTCTTGATATTTATAACTTAAGGGAAAAAAATGTACAAGAATGAAATATATAATTCTTTTGTAGTATAAAAGTTGTTGATGCCTAAATCTAGTTGATAAAAATTACCAAAGATCTCACCAAAATAAATCGACATAACCTGTGCAACCAACAGAATAACACATCAGTGTAGTGCTAGCCAGTAGCTACACACTGCGATGCTTAAGTTAGAATCTAGTTTTGTGTGAAGTTTGACTAAGACAGTAGGATTTCTCAGTGTACTTTGATTCTGAGTCTTTACCCTTTATTTATAGGGTAGAAAACCTATA